AACTAGCTGTAAGTGGAATTCTGTCTTAAGGCAATTAAGGCATCGTGCCTTAAGGCAAATTGCTGGAACTTCCCGTACCAAAAATTATTATTTTTTTAAAAACGATTAACATTTTTGAAAAAAATTACTTCAAAAAATAAGATTTTTGACAAACAATTAGACAAAAAATTACTTTTTTTTGAAAAAAAAATTCTTTTTTATTTTTTTTTTTATTTTTTTTTTTATTTTTTTTTAAAAAAAAATGGTTTCTTTTTTTTGACATATTTTGAAAAATCTAAACTTTTTTTCAAAGCGATCGTACTGCTTTAACTGCATAAAGACGAAATATCAAACCGCGTCGACGTCTAACGCGTAAACATTGGTACGGAACCCATAGGAATGTAAACCAAAATTATACTTATTGTTAAAATCTCTATAAAATATCTGATAATTTGATGTGCATATGTCTAATGATCATTTTTGACCGCCAAATGGCTTTTTTTTTTACTTTTTTCGTTATATCTCCGAAACCGCTAAACCTGCCCTTATAAAAATTTGATCAAATCTTCATCTTGTTAATACAAGTAAAATGTTTTTTGAATTATTAAAGTCGGACGCTCCGTCCTATTAAAAACTGAGGTACCGTTTTTGGCACTTTTTGCCCCATATCTTTGGAACGGCTAGACCTACCTCCGCCAAAAACTAATCAGCACGTCTCCTTATCAATATGGATCGAATGTTTTTTAAATTATTCAAATTGCTTCATCCGTGTTCCCGAAATCGTCGATGAAAATTTGTATCCGCACACACATACACACACGCATACACACACACATACATCCATTTTTTCCAAGGTATGCCAAAATATTCAGAAACCTCTGAAACGTAAAGATATATAAAAATTTTCATTTTCGATTTTTTTGCGATTACTATAACTTACCCTACGGGAAGTTAATAATAAGCAATTTAAACCAAATTTGGGTTTTAGGGTGACATGTTCCAGATAAAGTTGGTGATAGTGAGATAGAGATATGATCAGTCCACTTTAAATTATTATTAATATGAATACCAAGAAACTTTGATACTAGCGAAAAATCATATGCTGAATTATTGATGGTTAAAGAAGTGATATTATTGGACAAACGATTTTTAGTACAAAAAGATATGATTTGGGTCTTATCACTATTTAGGACTAGATTATTTTCACAGAACCATTTCGTTATTTTCTAACATAACCACACTTAATTTATGTTGTAATTCATTAAGAGATTTGGCCTTGATGATAACGCTGGTGTCATCCGCAAAAAGAATGAAATCACAAAGATTTGTACAAGGGGTAAATCATTAATATATATGAGAAATAGGAGAGGCCCTAAAATTGATCCTTGGGGCACACCCAATGTACGTGTCAATTTATCCGAAATTATTTATTCGTGATCATTATTTAAGTAAACGCTTTGTGTTCGATTAGACAGGTAAGATTTAAATAGTTTAAGCGAACGTCCGCGATACTTGATAAAATTGTTCAGATGTTATATATTTTTTATATCTTACCTGTGCATGTTTGACAGCCAAAAATTGTTTGGTGACGCAAGCGTTAACATTCTCCAAAATCGAATTTAAACCTCCAAGTCCTCCAGAATTCTCCTCTTCGTGTGTCTCAACAACGTCCTTTGGTGACGTTGACGTCAAATCACGTCTTTCTGGTAATGAAGGCGATTGATGACGTTCAACAACAGGAGACGAAGTTGCACGAGGCACCAGGTCTTCGGGTATCACAGGTTTTGATTCACGGTCTTCGTTCTAATAAAAAAAAAATCATAATTATAGTACTTCCCGAAGAAGAAGTTTATGTTTTCATAAAAAAATCCGACTCGCTAATTTTATGTTTTCTCGGCGTTTCAAGCCATTCTGAATCGAATGAGAACAAATTTGGAAAAAGTATGTATGTGTGGTGTGTGTGTGTGTGAACAGATTTTCTGCCGTAAATCGTTTTCTCGAAAAACGGCTGGACCGATTTCAAAATTTAAAAGCCATTCGATGTATCTCGATGAGGACTATCGTTTGTCAGTTTTTTGCGACGATCGGCCGAGACGTTTCTTTATAAATCGCAGAAAAGTGAAAAAAAATCCCCCACGTTTTAGCCCGTAATTCTGAATCGATTTTGAAAATTCAAAATACGAAAGATATTGGTTGGGAATCGACCTGATTAGTTTTTGGTAAAGATCGGCCGGGCCGTTTTCTTGTAATAAAGTGTTAAAAAAATTTTTTCGACGATTTTTAATTTCCCCGAGAATCGAAAATAAAATTTTTTGCATTTCTCGACGTTTTGAAGGATTTTTGCATTTCTCGACGGATGTGTGTGTGTGTGTGTTTGTGTGTTTCGTGTGTTCGCATTTTTTCGTTCACGTTTTCGGGCGCACGGATCAACCGATTTGAATGGTTTAAAAAACATTCGATCCCTATTGATAGGGATATGAGCTGATTAGTTTTTGGCAAAGGCAGGTCCAGCCGTTCCGGAGATACGGAGCAAAAAGTGCAGAAAATTTAAATCGAGTTTTTGAGAGATCGGAGCATCGAATTTGAATGATTCGTAATGAAGAGGAGAATTGGTGATTAATTTTTGGCAAAGGCAGGTCCAGCGGTTTCGGAGCTACATAGCTAAATGTGCAAAAAATGGCAGTTTTTGAAAGAACTAAGAGTCCGATTTAAATGATCCAAAGAACTTTCTGCTTGTTTCAATAAAATAATTGCTTTTGGAGAAAAAAAATTTGTTTCCAATTTTTTTTTTCCAAAAATATTTTTGTAATTTTGGATTAAAAACTCAAAAAATGACCCAGGCTAGCACAGTCTAAGCGCCACTCTGGTACAAATTTTTACCCGAGTGAGTTTAGACTGTGCACTGTTCCAATTTTGTGAAAACTAATAAAAAATGTAAAAATGCCAAGCTAAGCACAGTATAAGTGAAAATATCGCACTGAATTATTTGCAGATGCGTTTAGACTGTGACTATACGGGTGCACTTTTTCAATTTTGTGTAAATTAGGCAACTAAACTATTTTTTTGAAATTAAATTCGAAATGAAATGACGATTGTTAATGTTCTGGAGATAAAATGATTTATGATTTACATTTGATTTGCTCAGATATAACAAGATAGCAAAAACAATGAAAGTTACAGTATTTGTAATAATATATTTGAAAACGTTTAAAATTTCTCGAACATTTCATTACGATACGGGAAGTTCCAGCAATTTGCCTTAAGGCACGATGCCATACACCACTAGTTTAATTTTTAATTTACGAATTTTCCATTCTACTGACCTCATATTCCTCATAATCGTCAGCATTGACCTCCTCGATCATGTCCTCAGGATCAGATCCCAATTCCATTTTATCAGGAGTGCTTTTTCTCTGCTGCTCCAGCAGCTTTGCTGTGTGTTGCTCGCAGCAGCTGCAAACAACTGCTCATTTCGCTGTTGATGATGATGCATTTGTAGTTGGCGCAATAGTTCTTCGTATTGGTGATGTGGACCAGCTGGTAAAAATTTAAAAAAAAAATTAAAAAATCAGCATCAAAGGGTCTGGGCGTGTTTCCATACAGAATTGACCCCACCCTGGTATTTAAATTATTTTGATGCCATTTTATAGGTATTTTCGAGAAAATTCGAAATACCAAATTTCAAATTCGTAGCTCATCATTTGGCCGAGATATCAGTGAAAACATGTGAAAGTGGCCCCTTTTTTCAAACTCACTTTTTGACGGAAATATGAGAGATATCGAAAAAATGTTAACGTCATTCTATTTATACTGATCTTGTCTATGTTGTTCATAAAAAATAATGTGAAAAAATTATTTATTAGTGCGTGAAATGGTGAAAATGATTTTTCATTTTCCATTTTCTACCAGTGCGGCTCTTTTGACTACTTTTATATTAGCATCATTCGAAAGCCTGTACATTTTTCTTCTGTTATTCAAAAATTCATTTAAATGTAAGTGGAACTTTGGGTGGAAAGTTGGAAAAACTTAAGCTAGTACACGCGCTGCCGGTACAAGAACGCCCATATAAAGTCGCTTTGCAAGAGCAAGTCGTATCGCGCGCCTCGACAAAATCTGTATATAAGTATGGAAATATTTATTAAAAACCAAAATTTATTTATATCTTGTATATAAGTATATTCATTAGTCATAATAAAAATCCAACGCGCCGAATAAAAATAATAATTATTATTATTGATTATTTTCATTCGCTGTATAAGCTTCTGACTAATATATTTTAATGTATGAAAAACTTAAGCTTTCAATATTTTTCATATATTTACGTCGGTAATAAAAGGTATTTTAATTTTAATTCATTACCTTTTTTGATTTTTTGCAATGTTATTATATTTTATATAGTTATCATTAAATAAAAAATCGATAAAAATATATGTCAGAATACATTTCATAGCTATTCAACGCAAGTATATAAGTATTAAAAATATATTAAGTATTAAAAGTATATTACAAAAAATATATCTCTGCTGTTAAAATTTTAATTATTATGGCTATCCATGGCTATCCAAATGACAACTATTATTTTTTCAGCGAATAGCAAAAACAATTATAATTATTTTTTCTATGTAACTACTATACAATTCTGCATCATCCACAGTTATATCAATTTAATTCCCATTCTATGTAAATATTTATTGTAATACTTGCAATTTTTCGATATTATGATAAAATTGTCACTAAAATGTAAAATTATTGCAATTTCAGTCAAGTCATAAATAGTGCACAGAAAAGAAAATATATTTTTTGCAAAACTAATATCGATTCAAAAAATAATAATTGCTATTTTCCTATGGAAAACCACAATAATTATAATTTGTGAAATTCTATGTGTAAACAAATTGCTCACAGAGATATAATTTTCAATATACTATTAATATATGAAAAATATTGAAATCGTAAGTTTTATGTTGTGATTTTTAAAACTTACCCAAACCATAAAATGGATTCAAAACCCTGCTTGCAGCCAGGAAAGCTAAGAAGGCATCAGAGGTATTTCCTGATGCAGTTGCACCATTACTTGGAATGTTGGTGGTTGCACCAGAGGATCGATATCCCATGGGGTAATCCAGATTTTTCAAAGAGCCCAAATGATTTGCATCAGGAGTTCCATTTAAATTATTGTTGTTATTCAAATGCAACTGTGAAGACGGACTTGCATTGAGAGCATTGAGCAGAGACCTAGACAAATAATTCACACCATTACTATTTCTCATCGAACCATTAAAGGGGTATTCTAGTGTAGAACGATGAATTTTAGGTCATTTTTAAAGTGTGGTAAAAGAAAGCAATTAATGTTTTCACTATCTATTTTTTACTACTTGTTTATTATTATTATTAAAATACAATACAAAAATTAAAAAAATTAAAAAGTTGAAAACTGTAAAAGCTGTCAGCTGATGAAGTGGGTGGTCTCAAAAAATTGGCACCTCAGTCTTGACATGAATTCAGCCCTCCTAGCCATCCGAAATAATAAAAATGAAAAGATTATGAATCTACAATGATGTCGCAATCGCCCAAGAGTAAAATTTTTTTTTACAAATTGGCGACTGTTTGAAAAAAAGTGTTTTTCCTACTGTTTTTTGAGTTTCTCGAATTTTTTAAAAATAGTAAAAATTGGAATTTGGGGATAATCCTAGTTCGGGCTATAGATAGGACTATAAAGAAGACTCTCTGAACATTTCATGTGAATCGATCGATTAAAACTCGAGAAATCATGTCAACAGTACTGAAAAAGTCTGTTTTGAGAAAAACGCATTTAACCTTCGAACCGTCGGAGTGGTCTGGCTAGACCACCATTCATTTTACATGCATTTATATGGGATAAATTAGTTTTTGGTGTCTTATATATTAACATTTATTAGTAGTAAATATTTATAGTTTTGATTTTTTTGCTTCTAATAAAAATATTTCAAAAAAAACATGGAATAAAAAAAAATCGTTGCTTTTTTTGTTAATTTCTCTGTTTTATATCAATGAAAAACAATATTTATGCTTCTTCGGCGCCTTCGAAATGAATGTGAAATTCAAATGAAAATGAAATGAGGTGCGTCGCCTTTAAAATGAGCTGTAAAACTCAAAGTGAAAATATACTCTATACTTACGGCTACAGGTTTGCCAAAAAAAATTTCGAACGCAGTACGGATAAAAAAATTGTTAATAATGTGCGATTATTCATCCGATTTTCCATGTTTGCGATAACTAATAAGTTTGATAGGCTTTCAAGGAACTCTCGTCGTATAAATTCTAACATTCACGTTTCAACACAGCAAAAAATATATAAAACGCAGTTTGAATAGAAAATACCAAAACAAGATAAAAAATTGTTTTACATATATCAAAACGCGTCATACTTCATACAAAATGTTTAGGCAGACCACTCCGACCGTTCGAAGTATAAAAAAGTTAATATACTTATAATTATCCTTCTGTATATTTTTTCGTCCTGATTTTAGCATTTATCGACAGCTAATGAAATTTTAGGAAAATTTAAGAAATTTCATGTCGATAGGATTACTCTTTTTTTTTTTTTAAATTGAAGTCGAAAAAAGTCTGACCAGACCACTCCGACCGACGGAGGGTTAAATTTTGCGTGGAGCCAAACCAGTATGGATACCGAGTCAGTAAAATGCCTATATCTCCGAAAATAATTAAAATTTTCAAAAACCTTCTCGTACCCATATTCTTAGATAGTTAAACATTGAAAATATGAATACAAAAAAATCGATTTTTTTGAATTTCTACACTAGAATACCCCCTTAACTTGATATTCTTACCTGACTGGTAAAAGCGCAGGCGGCGCTTGACCAACACCGGCCTGACCTCCAATCTGACCATTACTAGGCTGCGGTAAACCTTTACTCAGCTGCTGAATTCCTCCGTTTCCTGCTGCCTGCTGCTGTTTGTGTCCTGCTCCGATGGACAGGCACTTTTTGCTGGTCATGTGGCTCGAATAGGAACCGGAGTGAGAGAACCTTTTGCCGCAGGAGGGACATCCGAAGGGCTTTTCGCCGCTGTGAATCCGTACATGCTCCTGGAGGAAAAAGTTACAGGATAAATGGTGAAGGAATCTGGTAAAATACTTATTATATCTTTTATATATATATATATATATATATATATACTAGCAAACCCGAAGAACTCCGTTTCGCCACCAGATGGTTTCATGAGAAAGATGAAGAAATTTTTTGTTTGTTTTATACTTGAAAAGGATAAATTTGATTTTATTATACAACAGTAATGAATTTATTTCGATTACAATAATGAACTGTTTTGCAGTTGAACTTCTCTAAGTAAATGAAAGTGAATCCGCCAATTATTCGTTTCATTGAAGTGCTCTTTGGTAAACCACATTTTTTGTTTTTTGGTCTGACGTTAACACAAACAAAGCGGATGGTTTTCCAACTCGTAAACAGGCAACGTATAACTGCCCATGTGAAAAACAATGTTTTTCTAAATAATCTATTTGAATATTATATTATCCCGCAAACACTAAGCGATTGGCCTTGCAACTTGTTATTGCGAACGCAAGGCGAACTGGAAATTACAATCGTTCGAAGTCAAACGGTAGACCAGTCGGAATCATTGGTATGTCACCAAATCGCCAGCAATTTTTGATTGAATGGTGAAATTCAGTGCGTGTACATCATTATTCTTTGTGGCAAGAATTGCTCGTTGACTTAACCAAGCATAATTCTGATAATTCTCACTAATGTCATTACTCAGATTTTTAATTATGGTGCGTGAAGTTCCAGTAATTTGCATTAGGGCACGATGCCAGGCACAATTAATTTTCTTAGCTATAAACCTTGCGGAGGGCTAGCACTCTATATAATTATAATATTTTTTACCTTTAGATGATGTTTGAATTTGAAGGCCTTGTCGCACTCTGTGCACTTGAATTTTCGCAAAGATGCACTTTCTTCGTGCGAAATCATGTGTCTCTGGAGTCTGTATACGTTGGCGAATGTTTTATTACAAGTTTTGCAACACTGGAAAAAAACAGAAAACATATTTTTAAAAAATCTTATTTTTAAACCCCAAATTTTTTCATCATGCAATATTGTAATTTTTTCAACAAATTAGGAGAGGAGTCGAAGAGAATTCCATGTAGGGTAAGGGAGCGTTCATTTGACAAAAAATCACAAAAAGTCACAAAATATCACGTGGGGACGGGAAATAAGATATCACGTGTATTCATTTTTTGAGTCTTTATTCTGGCAAAAGGGAAAAAAGTAAACAAAAATAATATAAATTATATTAATACTTATTCCAACCCTGATGATGAATTCTTCTGACAAATTGCAGATGGGTGATAAATCTAAAAAAAAAGTTTACTTAGATGTGTTTTAAGGATAAGTACTCTAATAATGAATTTTCCTAATAAGGGTGATGCCATCAAACAAAAGTTTAGTTGGATAATAAGTTCATTGACTATAATTAATTATAATTAGCATTTCCAACTAGCAACTGCACAAATATTAGTCATTGCAATTAGTCAGAATTTATATCTATTGTTGAAGTTTTGTGGTGAAGCATTTGACAACATTATCATCGACATGAGCTTCCTGTCTCGACAAATAGGAAGAATTCATCATCAGAGTTGGAATGACCATTAATTTATAATATCTTACATATTTTACTTTTTATTTATAAAAATTAAATATTTTTCTTTTTTATTTACTATTTTCTTATTGGTGTAAACTTTTTCCGTTTCAGTGTAAAGGTTCAGTTAGCCCTTTTTACCCCAACCACATGTCAGCTTTCATAAAAAAAATTGAATCTACGATAAAAATAACAATATACCTTGAGCAGCACATGTTCTTAAAAATTATATTCAGGTACCGTAAACTAAACAACAGTGCTCAAAACCAAAGCCAAAAAAACTTTGAACAACAAAAATACTTTCATTGCAAAATTTGACAATGGGGTCATTTATCTCATAAAATCGACGTCGCCCGTTCAAGGGCGATGACTGGTTGGACAACTTTTGCCCTCTACTTTAAAATAGTACAATTGAAAATACTATAAATATGATCTGAATTTTCATTCCATTACCAGGTAATTCTGATCTTTAATCAATTTTTTTTAAATGTTGCTTATCCAGGGTCAAAAGTGCAACAATTTCCGATATCCCCCGACCAAATGTTAAAATGTTTTTTACACCAATATTATAATTATGTATTTTGCAAATGGCAAAATGCGTCGTCATGTCTTCTTATCAATAATGGAGGAGAGAGCGTTGATCACAAATGTAAATGTAGATGTAAATGTACAAAATATAATTGTAACAATGTAAAAACGTAATTGTTTATCGACTCAATATAGACACAATACAATTGACGTTGAGTGCGTCCAACTTTCAACTTTGACCCGAGGGAAATAGACACAGGACACATACACATCCACATACACATCCATTTAAGGTGGTACTTAATATGGGCATTTTCGAATTTCCTTGCTTCCAAGAGCTCATATGGTTCCAAGTTGATAAAAAACAATTCTCTGAAAATTTTAGCTCTTAATTTGTCTTTTAGATAGTCCGCACTTCAATTAAAAGTTTCATTTATTTATTATTAACATATGTCATTAATTAAATTCTTGCGCCACCTGTGATAGTATTTGTGAACTCAAATATTATGAAACTTAAACATATTTATAAAACACTTAATTTCAAATTAAATCCATGTGAACTGTATAACGAAATATTTATTCATCATGGCATCAAAACTAATTTAACTGCAAAATATTTATTTAATTGTGATGTAGAAACTCAAATTATCAGCAATCAATTGCCAAGTACTAAAAGTCTAAAAGTCATACAAAACTTTGATTGAATTGCGCTCTATCTAAATGACAATGTTAAGTAAAATATGTCAAATATTTTAAGTCAAAGTGTTAAGAGCTAAAACTTTCAGAGAATTGTTTTCTATCAATTTGGAACCATTTGAGCTCTTGGGAGCAAATAAATTTGAAAATGTACATATTAAGGACCACCCTATATTAAATATATAAAATATTTTTATCAGATGATGCTAGATATCCAGGTGACATCCATCAAAATGATTGAATTAGAAAGTAAACTAAATAATGTTTCTGAAACATCTTGAATTATTTTAATTTTAGTCAAATTCTAATATAACTCTTCTTCAGTTGATTTTCCAACTATATAAATTTCTTTTAGAAAAAATTTATCCCAAGTATTTTTAAAAACAACAAAAAAAATGCAATATTCAATCTTCATCTTCAAATTTGAATTTTGTCAAAAAATCGATTCTATTTTTCGAAAATTGTAGGTATTATAATAGGTTGTCAAATATTTTTGCTCTTGGTTTATAATACAAAAAGGCGGAAGGGAGATATTTGACAATCTAATATTAGGTCCATACCCAGAAGAAACATGTAAGTAAGCCATAATAGTATTTATAATTTATTAATTAAATTTATAAATATTTACTACGTTTCAGGAATAAGCAATATTCTATTCAAAACGAGCTTTTGATTTTTCACCAAAAGAATAATGGTTTCTATTGACAAACAAACAAAATTTCCACCAAAAAAATAATAAGAAAAAAATCTATTTATCACAAGAGGACAATTTTGATTTCTCACCGACAAAATCAAGAGAATAAAGAACTCTACTGAGATGCAAACAGAATTTGGACATTATAAACGAGAAAAGAACCTCAGAAACTCACTCATAAGGAACACTGATATAATATAAATTTATTATTTATATTATCAATTATTAATTTTTATTGAATTATTAGTAATTATTAATTTTTAGTGAGTGTTAGTTTTTTCAATTCCATAGTTCCTAAAAAAGGTAACATTTTATATCTCAGAAATGTCTATGAGAAATTTTTTTTTTCAAAAAATAGGCAAGTTTGATAAAATTATATAAATATTAATAATTATACGACTAAAAAAACTTCTAATGAAATTATTTCAATTAATTTCACCTGTACAACTATATTCCTTCTACGTCTTTTTTTTTCAGAATATAACCAACTGTTTTTTTCAAATTTTCAAAAAAACTCAACGATTTTTATCCTCGAATTTGAATTTTGTCAAAAGTGTCGATTCGATTTTTGTTGATCGAATTTCAAATCAGATCACCTTGGCAAGGTGTGTCAAAATCGCCATTTGTGACAGGACATTTTTTTGGAAATTAGCGCAATATTAAAGTTTTAAAAGGGAAATTATAATGCTATTTGAGGTCACTTTAAAATTAAACCTAAGGATATAAAATTTTTAGATTTGTTTTTAGTTTGTACACATTATACATTAAGGATATGTTCTAAAATCTTAGAAATTTATTTTAGCAAAGCTATGGTGTAAAATTGTGATTCTGAGAGGCATCGCAGTTGTTATAAAAAATAATACAGCGGACATCAATGCTATTTAAACAAATATAAATAATGTATAATGTATAAAGACAATACATATACCATATATCTAAATAGATGTACATGAATATTTTAATGTGGTCGTCGTGTTTGTTTTGCATTGTCTGTCGGCCATTTGCTCATCGTTCAAGTGTCCATGTACCTATTTGTATTAATAAACGGTATTGACTTTTAATTTATCATTTTACACACATTTATACATACACATATAAATATATGTATATAATGTGTGTATTTGTACACATGTCCCGTTAATTAATGTGAGTACAAAACGCACTCATTTACGAGGTCAACTCCCATTTGACATTTGATAAAGTTCGACACCCATCTATAATAAATTATTCATACATACATATAATTATATACATACATACATACACACACACACACATATATATATATATATGTATATATATGTATATATATATATATATATATTAGGTATTAAAATTAGAAACGACCCGGTCGATCTTGGCCAAAAACTAAGAAGCACGATTTCCAAATGAAATCCTTCGAAAAGTTCTTAAATTTACAAAATCGGTTCAGATTTTTTTTGCGGAAACGGCGACGAAAATATTTGCATATTTCTTTAATTAATGAAAATGAATAAAATAAAAATGAATAAATCGATTATTACAGAAAATAAATCCTGTACGTTTATATATGCAAGCTTGTTTTCTCTGTTATTTTTTGAATTTGTGTTTTGCAATTTATTTGATAATGTATAGGTATTTTAGTTCAGTAAAAAAATCATGAACTCATGAAATTACTTTTGTAAAAATAGATTCCCAAATCAATTTTTCAAAATTCAAAGAATTCGTACAGAAGAGAATCACCATCAAGTTATGCTTTGTTGATGGATTTTAGAACTCAAGTTCTAATATTTATTAATATAATTGTTTATAATTGTAAACATTTTCAAAAACCTAATTAATTCATCACTTCTTATTTGAGAGCTTTTTTAACTATCGCAAAATTATAATATGGTTTTTTACATTTTGATAATAGTTATCTTTTTAGCTTATTAATCTTCAAAATTAAAGTGTTTCATGGCGTAACGGTTATGCGCACTGCCTCTGGTTTAAAAAAAAGTCAAAATATAGAACAAAAATATGCTTCCAATCTAAAATTGGAATTCCAATTTCTTTCATTTATTCAAGATTATTTAATTCAGTAGTAAAATATATAATATATACATAAGTTTTAACTGGTTTTAATGGTTTGAAAATAAAAATAAACTATATAGAAAAAATATGATTTTACAACTGATTTAAAATTGCCGTTTCATTTGAAGTTTGTTATTTTTTATTTTAAGTCCGATTTTAAAGTACACCGAGTTGCTATAGAATGCTATAATATTAGAAGATGAAATATACTTATAAATTAATATCTTGAAATATACGGAAACTTTGATTAATATTTGACTTTGAGAAATTATATTGTGAAAACCAAACCAATTATATCACAACAAACAACACATATTAAACAAACAACTGTCTGACTATATTCAGTGAAACTCCCAGCTAATCCATCATTGTAGAATGTGTTCTTTTGCTGTTTTTCGAAAAAAATTCAATTGATTCTTTTTGCCCCATAGACGTAGTAAAATGAGCCAGGGGGCGAACATGTCTTTTTTTTAATTTTAAATGTATTTCACAAATTAATAGCTCAAATAAAATTCAACCATATTCAAAATGGTTTTCAATAAGCCTAATTAATAACAATTCGTTTTTAAAAAACTTTTATGAACATATAACAAAATAACAATAATCATATTCTTTTTAGATATTATATTATTATTAATATCTTAAAGAATGCTCACAACATTCTTTTGCAAATAACTAAACTGTAGACACCTATCCAACTATAAAAACAATAAAAATAATAATAAGTTAGTCAAAGTAAAAGGTTAATAAAATTAAATGGAAATTAAGATTCTAGAAAGGCGGGAACACGAACTGAATAAATCTCCCGCGTTGAAAAATATCTCTCGAAGTCTCCTATAAAATTATATATATATATATATATATATATATTTGTATGTATATATACATATATTTCCATATACCTATGTTTATGTGTTTGACGGCTGCGAGCACCTGTTAGTCCCAAAAAACTTTCAAACACATGTGCTTCATGACAAAAAAACGATCTCGACCATTTGTATATGTAAATATGTATACATATATACATATACATATGTGTATATGTATTTATTACAAAGCCCCATGCTATGCTAAGAGATTTTTTCTATGAAGTCGTCGTCCCACTATTAATATTTCTTCTTGTCCGTGATGGCTGAACGTTTTTGGTTTTTTGTGAGGTAGACACGGAATGTACATTTATTTTTTATATACATATACATATAATATACATAATTTATATATGTATAAATGTGTATATGTGTGTCTATGTGTGTGGGTATATGATTTTTTTACGATCTCCGTAGTTGAGTTCGAGTTGAGATCAGTTCCCACGTCAAAAACTTTTTCAGACGATAAAAAATGGTGGAGACGCCGTAAAATGTTTCGATTCTCATTAACCTACACATTTATATGATATTATATATGTATATTATATATATAATATAGTATAGTATATATTTTATATATACTGAATAATTATGAACACTAGATTGAAAAGTTTGATCCATCAACAAAGCAAAACACTCCATGGTGAATCTCTTCTGTACAAATTCTGAGTTTTGAAAAATTGTTTTGGGAATCAATTTTTACAAAAGTAATTTCATGAGTTTATGATTTTATTTACTGAATTAAAATACATATACATTATCAAGTAAATTGCAAAACCCAAATTCAAATAAAAAACAGACAACATAAGCTTGCATAAAAGTACAGGATTTATTTTCTGTAATCGATTCATTTATTTTTATTTTATTCATTATTAAATTCATTTAATTATGTATCTATATTCATTGAATTATTTACGTTTTTATTTAAAAAAAAAACCTATTACTGTAAATCAGTTCAACCTATTCACATTCATCAGTTTATTTATTCATTAACATATTGATGTATTTATTGATTTAATTTATGAGGCGATTAATAATTAAAAATTTTACATAATAAATAAATAAATAAATTTTTCCTATAAAGTTCATTGCTGATGTAATAATAATTAATAACTAATAATATATAAAATAAATTATTTATAAATTTTATCATTTTATTTATATTAAACGTATATGAATAAAAATATTAAAGTTGCAGTCAAAATGTAATTTTTTTACGTCTGGATTATTTTTTGTTATCAATTTATTTGCAACATTTCTGTGAATATATATATATATATATATATATATATTATATATATATACATGTATATATATAGACAAGTGCGATATTAGAATTTAGGTCACAGATTAATTAAAACGCACATTTCAGAATTACGTCTCATGGTTTATATCAATTGTTTCGCATTTATACAAATATATATATATATATATATATATATATATATACCGATGCCTAAGGTAAAATGATACTAACAACTAATTTGCAACACAATGCCAAAATTATTATAATAATTAATTCGAAATCAAACTACTAGTACCAGACTTTTTCAAAGTAAAAATATAAAAATTCCATTAATGACTCAACTAAAAATTAACGAAATCTAGTAGTATAAGGTTGCACTCGATAAAAAAGAAACGAGGTTGGACTTTCATTTATATTACAAAATATACTCCAAGCAAGTAATGAAAAGTCCTGGGAAATACTTTTGCAAAAACTCAAAATTTAGACCAAAATTTAGGCATCTAATTAGCTATATGAATTTGTCTAGAAACATTATATGTTAAATAATTCCGAATTCTAAAAGTTCCAATAACTAAATTTAATTTACTGATGATGGAACAATTTCTGGTATCGAAACGTCTACGACATTATTAAATATAATTAGTACAAAAAATTGTAAGACACATCGTAAAAACATCAAAACATTACATTCAGAGTATGTTTCCTTAATGATTAGAGACGTGGACTCTATGAAAATGTTGACAAAATTTTTTAGACTGTTTAGACTGTTTACGTACTGGAGCACTTTTCCAATTTTGTGAAAACAACTATGAAAAATGTGAAAATGCCACCAAGCTAAGCACAGTATAAGTGAAAATGTCGCAAAGAATTATTTGCAAATGCGTTTAGACTGTGACTATACGGGAGCACTTTTTCAATTTTGTGTAAATTTAGTCAATTACTTTTTTGAAATTGAATTCAAAATGAAATCACGATTGGAGATAAATTGATTTATGATTTACATTTAATTTGCTCAGATATAACAAGATAGCAAAAATGATGAAAGCTTCAGTATTTGTTATTAACGTTTAAAATTTCTCGAATATTTCATTACGGTACGGGAATTTCCAGCAATTTGCCTTAAGGCACGATGCCATACACCACTAGTTACTATTATTATTATTATTATTTTCTACTCACCACAGTAGCAGTCGGATGTTGGCTCTCGTGCCTCTCGAGTTGTTCCCTCGTAGCAAAATTCAAATTGCACACCAGACACTGATGGCAATTCTCCAACTTCATCAGAGTCATCTCGCCCTCGTAAGTCCTCAAATTGTCACCAACACTTTCACCACCGGCACCACCATTCGCCGAAAGCGTGAACGTGTTTTCCACCTTAGACAAATCTTTTTCGCCTTCGTAAGTCGTCCTCAAATCACCACCAGCACCATCGTTAGATGTCTCACCATCGTTCTGGACGTCGATGTCTTCTTCGACGATGTGTAAAGGACTGCTGCCTTCTTCTGAGGATTTAGGCCAGGATTCTAAATTCTCTTTGTTCTCGGTTTGGTGGTAGTCTTTGTCTTTTTCAGAAGATTTTGTGGTGGTGTCTTCGGCGGTGGTTTCCCTGATTTGTGGAGAGGTTGCTGCTACTTGTCTCGGGGAATTTGCACGAGAATGTTGAGGCGACGTCACGATTTTGGTCGTGAGGGATGTGACGTCATCTTGGACGTCATCGGCTGTCGTGTGCTCTTTGACGGACGATGTTGGGACTGAAAAAGATAAAGGATACGTTATTAATATTATAAAATTAGAATCAACTCAGATATTAGCTATTTAATTGATATTTTTTTCATAAACTAGGTGTAAGTGGAATTTTGCTCTAAGGTAAGTTGCATGAAGCTTCCATTGACTTAGCATTTTTCTTATGAATGTTTTTATTTTGACGAATTTTTAACTTCCCGTAGGGCAAGTTGTAGTAATCGCAAAAAATCGAAAATGAAAATTTTTATATATCTTTGCGTTTCAAAGGTTTCTGAACATTTTAGCATACCCTAGAAAACTAATGGATGTATGTGTGTGTGTGTGTGTGTGTGTTCGGATACAAATTTTCGTCGACGATTTCGGGAACACGGATGAAGCGATTTGAATAATTCAGAAAACATTCAATTTATATTGATAAGAAGACGTGCTGATTAATTTTTGGCGAAGGCGGGTCTAGCCGTTCCAAAGATACGGGGCAAAAAGTGCCAAAAACGGTAACTCAGTTTTTAAGAGAACGGAGCGTCCGATTTGAATAATTCAAAAAACATTTTTTTTGGAAAGGAAGATGCAACAACTTCGGAGATATGGAGGAAAAAGTAAAAAAAAATGAGCCATTTGGCGGTCAAAAATAAACATTAGACATATGCACATCAAATTATCAGATACTTTATAGAGATTTTAACAATAAGTATAAATTTTGTTTACATTGCTATGGGTTCCGTACCAATGTTTATCCGTTAGATGGCAAGGCGGCGCTTACGCGCTTCGATATTTCATCTCTATGCAGTTAAAGCAGTACGATTGCTTTGAAAAGAAGTTCAGAATTTCCAAAATATTTCAAAATAAATTTTTCTTCAAAAAGTCTTTTTCCAAAAAAAAGTAAGTTTTTGTCAAAAATTTATAGTTTCTCAAAAATCCATTTTTTTTTCAGGGTAAATTTGTTTCAAAAATGTTAATCTTTTTAAAAAAAAAAAAAATTGGTACGGGAAATTCCAGCAATTTGCCTTAAGGCACGATGCCATGCGCCCACCAGTTAACTAACTAATTGTTTCCTAAGGAACACCTGCTTAGGACATACACGATGTATGTTCTAAGAGCACAACGCAATATTTCACATTTTAATAAATAATTTATTCAGTGCCTTAAATCATTAATTGATTCCTTAAATATCTATGTATTTATACATTATATCTCTTGTAACTTTTAAACCATTCGTTAGATATGAATGATGTGTTTGAAAAATTTGTACAAAATTCAATAATCTCAAATATTACTTTGAAATTAAGCCTTGGAAAATAGTGGAATTCGACTTAACCACTTACTCACTGCGATAGCAGAATTATTTTTCAAGACACTGGTGCAATTATTTGTCTTAATAAGTGAAAAACCATTCGATTAATGTGAAAGATGTATTTGGCAAATTTGTAAAAAATCGATTAACCTAAGATATTGTCTAACATCATAATGCCCTGCAACAACTTAGTACACTTTAAAATCGTCTTAGAAAAGTTAAATAAAGTAGCAAGATTAATTTGGTCATCCCAGTCGAATTTCGGCAAAATTGTCTCAAGTCGCTGTGTCAATTATTTCTCTGAAAATAGTTATTCCATTGAAAAATTATCAGTGGAAAACAAAAGTTAATAAATTACTTCATATCAAATTTGACCTATTAGTTTTAAACCCACAATTTTAAACAACTAATCAAATTATAATCAACATAGACAATAAAAAATTTAATGAATTTTGACTAATTTGATAAGTATGCCTATATAACTTTTCTAATTTGCTTTGAATTTCAGTGCTGCAACTCGCCGGTAGGCCAAAACGTTCAAAATACCAAGTTGCGATATATGGCAGAAAAACTAAGAATTTTGAAACGAATCTAACGATGTATAACACTTTATATGGTTTCTTGACGAATTTATGAAATATTTTGCATAATAGCTCAAATTATACCGCATTGTAAAATCAAGCATTTAAAGCACATATTTATTAAGCTACACGAAAATCGGTTAAAGTTACATAAAAAATTTGTTCGGAAGAAATATGCAGAATAAAATTACGAATAAAATGGTATATAAATGGTTAAGTGTGTTCATATAATTTTCTCGAGACTTTTCAGTTTTCCTGAAATTTTACGATAGCAACTTGCTTGTAGGCCAAACTGTTCAAAATACGAAGTTGCGATATATGGCAGAAAAACTAAGAACTTTGAGACGAATCTGTATATGTATAATACTTTATATAGTTTCTTTACAAAATAATGAAATAATTTGAATAATTACTATGTGAACTACATATTTATTATGCTACACGAAAAACGGTTAGAGTTACATAAAAAATTTGTTCGTACGAAAGATGCAGAATAAAATTACGAATAAAATGATATATAATTCGATAAGGGTCTCTATGAATATTTCTTGAGATTTTTCAATTTTTTTTTAAATTTCAGAAGTCTGACTCGCCTATAGGCCAAACTGTTCAAATACGATGTTATGATATATGGCAGAATAACTAAAACTTTTGAAACGAATCTAACGATATATAACACTTCATATGGTTTCTTTGCGAATTTGTGAAACATTTTGAATAATTACTCAAACTATGACGTATTATGAAATTAACGTGTGAACTACATATTTATTATGCTACACTAAAAATGTTTAGAGTTACATAAAAAATTTGTTAGGAGAAAAGATGCAGAATAAAATTACGAATAAAATGATATATAAATGGTTAAGTGTGTTCATATAATTTTCTCGAGATTTTCCAATTTTCCTTAAATTTCAGGAGACTGACTCGCCTATCGTCCAAACTGTTCAAAATAGGAAGTTGTGATATATGGAAGACAACCTAAGAATTTTGAGACAAATCTAACGACGTATAACACTTTATATGGTTACTGTACAAAATGATAAAATATTTTGAATAATTACTCAAACTATGACGTATTGTGAAACTAAACATGTGAACTACATATTTATTAAGCTACACGAGAAACGATTAGATCTACATAAAAAGTTTGTTCGGAGGAAAGATGCAGAATAAAATTACGAATAAAATTATATATAAATGGTTAAGTGTGTTCATATAATTTTCTCGAGATTATCCAATTTTCCTTAAATTTCAGGAGCCTGACTCGCCTATAGGCCATAATGTTCAAAATACGAAGTTGCGATAAATGGGAAAAAACTAAGAATTTTGAGACCTTTCTAACGATGTATAATAATTTATATGATTTCTTTACAGAAATATCGAATCGTGTAGATAATTGCTGAAACCTAACCGCACTTTGCATTTGAACATTTTAATTCTAGATTCTTTACTACAAGCTAAACGGTAAAATATAATCAAAAACTTTCTTCGAACGAAAGATGCAGAACAAAATTACGAATAAAATGGTATTTAATGATTAAGTGTGTTCATATAATTTTCTTGAGATTTTCCAATTTTCCTTAAATTTCAGAAGGGTGACTTCTCTAACGTCCGAACGGTTTAAAACACATGGGAAAAGAGCTAAGAATTTTGAGACGAATATAAGAAAAATCTAACTAATATCTAACAACAATCTATAATACTTTATATAGTTTTTACGAATTTTTGACAACGCATCGTGCATTTAAATAGTTAACTATTCACACATTTATAATACTATACAAAAACGGTTTTTGTGAAAAGAAACTATATTCACTGAACATAACGGGCATACGACGGATGCATGTTTTAAAAACGCAGTTCAAATTTTAGTAATTAAACCACTTTTTTAAACCAATGGTAATTTTAGGTTACTCAATCGACCAATCAACAGCCACCTCTAGTATGCGCCGCCCAATCAGCACACCTGTGAAGGTGAGACGGAATCAACAGGTGCGCACTATATCCAATCCCTTCACACCTGTTGCTATAGGCCCGTCTCACCTTGACAGGTGTAGCTGGAAGACACGCGATTGGTGGACGCCCTCGCCGCCCACCTATCGCACCTGCGTGCTTTTCACCTGGATAGGAAACGATACATCTCATTGGCCGGAGGAAGAATATATAGAACTTAACAACAACTTGATATAAGATGACAAAATTTTATATATATATATATATATATATATAAATTATAATCCATATTTTTCCATATATATATTCTTCTACCCTGTTCCATATTCCGTCCTATTGTTGTATAATATAATGATGTGTATTTGTGTGCAAAGTCGACGGCGCCATCATGTCGCCACAGAAATGTCGTCACCGGGTCGTAAATCAGTAACCTCAAATTAATACGCGTTTGATAATTACACGTTTATTGTACTTGTATTATGAGCCGCCCCGGCATCCTCTATTATCGGAATAAATATACACTATAATTAATAATATACATTATATATTACATTTTAGTTATGGCTGTGGGACGTGCGACTTTGGCACAATCGACCATGATTAGGAGATTTATTTACAGGGTGCCCCAAAACTCAACGACAAGCCGAAACAGAGTTATATATTGATTGTAGCTATAAAAAAATAAATTTAAAACTAGTGGTGTATGGCATCGTGCCTTAAGGCAAATTGCTGCTGAACTTCCCGTACCGTAATTAAATATTCGAGAAATTTTAAACGTTTTCAAAATATATATTACAAATACTGTAACTTTCATTATTTTTTTCTATCTTGTTTGTTATATCTGAGCAAATCAATGTAATCATAAATAAATCAATTTATCTCCAAAACATTAACAATCGTCATTTCATGTTCGAATTCAATTTCAAAAAAATTTGAAAGTTGTCTAATTTACGCAAAATTTAAAAAGTGCTCCCGTATAGTCACAGTCTAAACTGCATTTGCAAATAATTCTGTGCGAAATTTT